CTCTCTCTCTCTCTCTCTCTCTCTCTCTCTCTCTCTCTCTCTCTCTCTCTCTCTCTCTCTCTTTCTCTCCCCTTCTTTCTTACAACGTCGTGTTCTCGCTGCGACGACTAAATCGCGCGATTTGCGCGACGCATTCCCGGCAAATAAATTATTCTTAACACTTTGACAATCGCTATCACGTAGACGTGACTTTCCTCTACCAACGAGTGTCGCATTTTGAGGAAACATTTCGTGATAATGACACCAATGAAAGAAAATAATTGATAAATTGTTTTTGTAATATATCATAAAAGCTATGTGAAACTAGACGAAAGATTTATGTACACAGAAAAGTGTTTGTTTCTTTAGAGAGAGAAGAGCTTATGTGAAAAAAGGATAAACTATAATATTCTCTCAATGTGTCGAAGACACTGGAGAATTTTTTTTCGAAATGTTTGCAGCCGTCGAAGTGTTTAATTGCTCCCTAAGAAATCTCTACAAAGAAATCTCTACAATTGGATTGCAATCGTCCCCTTTCCCCCGTCCCATGTCGCGGAGCTCGTGCAAAGCTCTTCTTTTTCGGACGTCGCCGTATTACCACCGTCATCGCGGCGCGATTATGCGATTCGCAACGCGCGCCGCTAATTGACATCTGATACCGATCGATCTCTCTCTCGCTCTCTCTCACGCGCGCGCAGACTTTACACTGGATGGTCATTAATTAAATTCGCTGGACCAACGCGGGACCAGCGGTCGCCGCTGTATAAATGACAAAAAGCCCATCAAAATGTGCGGTATTAAATGATAAATATTTCGCCGGCGCTCGTCGCCGCTTCACCCACCCCCGTCGACGTCACGTCCGTGCCTTATTCACCGCGATAGTGCGTCAAATATTTATGACTTACGACCGCGCCCGCGTGCGTTTTCCGCGATCGTTCCGGGCGAGAGGATCACGCCATGCATCGTCATGATACATCCACAAGGTGTTTCGGAGCTCTCAATTGCCAGCGGATTTCATGTCGACGGGAATATCGACGTGTCGACGCAGCTGCCCTAACAAGACACGAGGAGGATGCCCACGAATGAAATCCTGATCTTGCAGACGGACACAGAGAAGTGTCCTAGCTCTTAATTGTGACACGCAGCTTGAATATTAAACATTGAATATCAGCTAAGGGAATTATGATTTCGAATATCCGAATATGTAGCGACACACCGTTTAACGATAGACACCTGGCAGTCGCTTGCGGAGATCATTGCACGAATGTAGAAGAACGACACAGAGGGAAGCGAGTTAAAATGGTTGTTAACCACTTTGTTAGTTGAATATCATTTGGCTCTTATTTTTTATGTACAGCCAGCACTCGCCAAATTAAAGTCTCACAACGCTACAACGCGAATCGCGAAAGATGGATCATCGAAGAGGCCGCGAGAGAGGCACAGTCGGCCGCGCGCATTTGTCTAAAATGTCCGCGATGGAGATTAAGATCAAGGCTTCTCGGACACCGTGTATACACGCGTTTTTAAGTGCTTTTAATTGCCCGACTCCACGTTCGTGAAACGACTCGTCGTAAAAGCGCGTGCTGGGGGTCCGCGCCGTTTAAAAATCGAGGGGCCCGTCGACTCTCGTAGCCGTCTCCTCGTCGCTCACCGCGACTCTCGGGCCCCGCCACGTGGGTCCGCGGACAAAGAGCGCGATCGCGGGTATTTTTGTTGATGAGCGCGCGCGGCTTCGGCCGTTTATGATCCCATAAATTCCGTCTGATTTCGGCGTAACGGACAAAAGGCCTCGGCGATCGCGCGTCCCGCACTGGCCGCTCACTGTGGACGGTAAAATGGAAATGACGCTTTATTGTCCGGCGGATAGGCGAGAGAAACACGCACCCGAAACGAATTAAACGCCCACGCAACCGGGAGCCCCGACGCGTTCTCAATCGCGATCGCGGCCAATTCTTCAATGCCGATCCCTGAATGACTCGTCGTGTTTTCTATAATGAGCGAGGCACTGTCGCGAGCTATTCCGCGCGAGAGATCGGCCGCGGGGAAGGTCGAGCATATAGCCACGGGCTATTATTTAATGATGATGATCAATTACATGTGGACCGAGCGATCCCTCAAAAACACGCCGCGTTGGTGCGCGTCACGTCGGGTTTGTTCACGCAGAAAGTAACGTCCTACGCGAAATTCACGAATAGGCTCGCGAAAGCGCGATCTGCTCAAAGTAAACGTACCAATATCTCAATTCTACTTTGAGAAAAAATATTTGGTATTTAACTATAATTAATGGTATTTAACTATAATTATATAGAAAACGGAATGATCACGGAAACTATTCCATGTTAAATTCTACAATATTTCTATAATGTTAGTGATAATAATCTTATATGTTATAACTACCATTTCCATGTTGGAACAATTAAAAAATATAGTAGGAGTTAAAAATAATATATATAATTTTAGTCAGATCCACCATTTTTTTCTCAATGTAATATACTGATGCCTAATTCTGGACATTTTTATTGTTTTAATCTTTTTAAATACGTTTAAACTTTTAATATACAAAAACATATATTTGTATTAAAAAAATATATTTTACGTTATAGTTCAAATATTTGTATTTAATACAAAAAGACATTTGGTTGAATTAATCAAATGTCTGGTGAAATATGAACGAATCAGAGTTCCGGTTGAAGTTATCAAAATTCTGCTCAAGTTAACAAGATTTCTAGTTAACTTGAATAGTTGCAAGTTAACTCTACGAAGCTTTTTTTTCCCGTAAGAAACTAAAACTATGAATGTCCAGGATTAGGTACCAGTTTTATTAACGTCCAAGTATTGGTATTTTACTCTATTGCTCATTCCAAAATCAATATAAAACATATGCTACGATAAAATATTCCCGGCTCTGGATAATAATCGCGAAGGTACGAACTATGCGTATTCTTTCGGAGATACGCGTAAAACCTCGTGCCTCTCGTCGTCTCAACGTGGATAGTGAGCGAACGATAAATCTCGCGAAACGCGGTCGGCCGGCTAATAATTCCGCCATGTCTTCCATTGGATTCGCGCGTTTCGATCGATCGGAGAAACGTGCCGCCGATCAATTTAATCCCCTTTAATCCGCGCAAAAAGTCCGCCGGATCCCGACGACCGATATTTACCGATTCGATTTCCCAACCGCCGTCCCATCGCATAGAGCCCGGCTTAAGTCGACTAATTTCTCGCGTTCGAGAGGTCGGATCATTAAGGTCTCCGCGTAGCGAGAGGTGCCTAGGATCCTCTCCCGAGGCTACGAATGGATTTGCCATCGTGAGAATGTGTGTATGTGTGTATGGCGGAGCTTGCCGATAATCTGGACTAAGACACCGAATTCGATAGGTACGAGGCTCCATTGGGCACGAATAGCGACCTCTAACTAGGCGAGTTCGAAAGCAAAAATAGAGATCCTCTAATAATTTCACTGTACAAATTTCATTTGTACGTATTTCATTTCTAAACTGAGGGAAGAAATATCTAAAAAATATATAAAACACATTTACTAATAACAAATGGACTTAAACCAATATAAAATATTTTTTAAATAAGGAAGTATATGTTTTCTCAAAATCTTAATTTCTCTCATGAGAACAATTTTTTATTCTATTTAAATAGAGGAATTTATATTTAAATAAAAATGTTACTAGCACTCATCAAATATAAATATTTTTTACCTTTTAGATATCTTTTTAATAATTGCTCCAAACGTAATGTTGCGAAAAGATACTGTTGCATTCTTTTAATTTCTTTAGTTTCGGACAGAATCGGAATACGTCATTCGAGCGACGGAGATTTAACGATTTCCGAGATTCCGAGGTAGAATCGTAAAACTATCCGTAATACAATAACGAGTGTTTGGAATTTTCTCAATTTGACATTTAATTGTTTCGGGAAAAAAAGAGAGAAAGGTTGGGAAAGAGAGAGAAGGTAGGAGGAGGAGGAGGAGGAGGGAGAGGGGGAGAGAGAGAGAGAGAGAGAGAGCAAGATCGAAATCTGTTGCGAGGTAGCGCGGCTTATAAAATTGCGCGGCATTTAAATTCCGCTTGCATATTCCGAGCGGATGCGAGTTGTATGAAAATTGCGAGTGATAAAAATATGAAATGAATCGCGTAGATGTGGAAACGAGCGGGGGAGGAAAAACTGAGGCTTAATAAAGCGCTTTCCGTGGAAAAATAGGACGGCTTGGCCGACATCGATCCGAAGGAAGCTGTTTCACTCGGTCAGTAAACGCGTTCGCGTTCGCCCCACCATCTCTCACCGTTGCATTTTACGGCTTCCTTCGATTATTACTTCAATATGCGCCGCTATCTGAATTATCGTAAATCCGATAACGTTATCTGCAATGACGGCCCGACTGAAGCATATGTTATGTCCGCGCTTATGTAATACCAATATCGGTTAAATATACATCATTTTCGTTGCTAATATCGCGATGAACTGCATTATTAATAGTGGAACTTCCCTCTCTCTCTTTCTCTCTCTGTCTCTCTATCTCTCTTTCTCGCAAAGAATCACAAAGAGCAAAACATTTGAGGATACAGACGAAAGTTACGCGCGACTTGAGTTGCGAAATAAAGCGATCTCGGATTAAACTTGCATCCCCTTGTCAATTTCCCCAGGTATCGGACAATTTCAACAAAGGACGGAACCACGGCACCCAGCTGTCTATTGGCCGGGTCTTCAGGGACTAGTCAGCGATCCTCTCACATGGCGGGCAAGATTACACACATGTAAGTTCAGTTTTAATCACAAGTTAACATCGGTATCTCGTTTTAAGTACTCTATCTCATTTCCGCACGCTGAGAAAAAATACATCAACATTTATTTACGGAATATAAAGCTTATTTCTGTGAGAGAAACTGTTAACTCACACACAAATCTTCAAGTATTTTTCTTCCTCCCTCGCCCTCTCATCTTTCCAAATTTGTCAAGTATTCTTTAAGCGTCGGGAACTTATAATATTATAAGTATTATTATTATTACGAGTACTTCTAAATACGCGCATTGTCGGCATCGTACGTTTCCACCGCCTGCGGATGTTTCGTTACGTTTTCCTCGGGTATGCGCGGCGGATTTGACAGCTGCGCGTGTTTGCTTTCGCGGCGGGAAAATCACAGGACCGCCGAAGTGAAGAAACACGTGCTGCCGAACGTGTCTCCGTTTGAACGGCGTGCCCGGAAAGTCGTTCGGCCCGATTCCCCGGCGTGGGTCGCTCACGGGGTGGAGGAATTTAAAAAATGCGTGGAAACCGTCGTGTGGGGAGCACGGGAAAGGAAGTCGTAGGGACGAAGGGCTCGCGGCCACGAATATAAGGAGGACTCTCAATCTAGACGAGATGACACCGACGCAGGTCAACATTGATCTCTTCAAAGCGCGTTTCGTCCAAACCTCCCCTTTCGTTATATCAACTTGCTCCAAATTAGCCACGAATTTTGCCCCCACCGTGACCGTGTTTTTGTTCAAACTATAAGTGGACGAATATTTTTTTCACAGAAAACATGTCTGAGAAATAAAAGATATTTATTCGATGGGTGTATATTTTTTATATATAATAATATATTTATTTTTATATAAAATTTTTCGAATAAGAAAATATATATTTTCTTAATTAACTCTTAGCTTTTCATGAAAGCAATTGCTTATTCTATTTAAATAAAAAAATATAAAAGAGTACGGTCAAGTTTGACCCCACATTTTGCAGCATTCGAAATCTTAAATTGTTTTTTGATAAAATTATAACTATGGATGGGTAGATTAAAAATATATAAGTATCAAAATATGGAGTTAAATGAACTTATGAGAGCTTATTAGTCGCTCTCTTTAAGTAAACATGTTATTATAGTATCCGTCGAACATATATTTTTCATTTCTTTAATTTTTTCTAAGTATATAAATTCTTTTCAATTTTATTGTGTTTTATTAGTGCAGGAATAGATTATCAGTAAAATCTATCCTTGTGAGAAAAATTCTATGATAATTTTTACTACAAAACTCTCTCTCCGCGTGTACCGCTGATGAAGAATTGTGTTTGTTCGCTCGACACGAAAGAAAAAAGTTACGGATGAGGATCATGAGCGTAGTAAATACAGTCGCGCGATAACGATTAATCGGGAGCTTATACGGCTATAATTACGGTATACGGAATTATGTGGAATAATAATTCTGACGCGAACAAAGTTCCACAACTGTTAGCCGGACGAGACTGCGCGCTGTACACGTCGCAAGCAGAGTGTCGGACGTTGAATTTAAAATTGATTCGAGTTGTCGAGTTCGCGCGCCAAACTTTCGCCGGTATAATGCAACGCATACTAATTACCAATTGAATTTCAAATAGTCGTATAATCTATTACTTCCTAATTTATTGATACACATCGCGTGAGCGCGCGCGCGCGCACGTCGTACGGGACGCGCGCGAATGGCGAAACGACGTGACTTCCTCGTTTGGACGTTCCTGATATTTAATCGACTGCTGCCGAGCCATACTGCTCGTCGGCTTCACACATCAATCAAACAATTCCGCGCACGCACGTGACGTTACTCGATGGAAAGCATTAAAAATTGCGCATCGAGCACGTATGGCACTCTGGAGCGGCTCTTCTCATGTCTAAGCTACACTATCGACCATACGACTCTCGTTTACGTGTAGACACCGGCGATACCGATCGTACCAGGTCGATCCCGATCGTTATCAAGTGCCAACACACACTCCCTTCGCACTCCCTCCGGACACTTGGACGGTTCACGCTCAATTAGCCGGCGGGATCCCCCCTTCCCCCACGACATGCATACCGGGACGTTCCCGGCGGTACGGCCGATCGCTCGAGTGCCGTGTACACCCCCGCCCTTACGAGAAGACGATTAAGGGCACCGCAGAGAAAAAAAAATCACAAACAAAGTGGAGAAACACGTGACGTCTCGCGTCGACCCCTCTCGACGACAGAGAGAGCCGTCCGTGGTCGGAGACGAAGGAGAGAAGGACAGAGTCACAGCGAGAGGAAGAGAGACAGAGGAAGAGAGACGACGCATACATCAACCCTCGGGGGGTGGCACATGTGCCGCGGCGCGTCGTGACGTAAGGAGGGCGGCGAAACGCCGGCGTGTAGAATGCGGGCGTGGACAACGTGTGGGCACACGTGTGGGCACGCGTGGATACGTGTATGTGTGTTAGTGTATATGTGTGTCTTCTATGCGTTTGTATTCTCATGCTTTCGAGTGCCCGCCGCCACACGGCGGAGAGCCAGTGTGTCGTACGTACCGTGGGGGCGAATAAGAGGGTGGTAGCGGTAGTCCGCTGCGGCGTCGGATCCGGGATATCATCATATTCAATATCAACCCTGCCTCCACCCCCGGGAGCGACCGCCGGCCGACGGTACCCCTGCCGCCGCCACCCTCTCCGCGTTGCCCCGCGCCCTCCCAACGGCGCGCTACGTTTTCCACACTCGCGCGAATAACTCCGGCAATATTTTAACTGCGGCATCGGGGCATCCGTGCCTGCCTTTCCTACCGCCCGATACATGCGGTGGATACCTCTTCGACCCTCTCTCCCGCCGCCCCCTGGTCCTCGCCTTCACCTCTCATGGAATCCTCCTCCCGTGGGGCGACGGAGAGGACGAGATGGAGATAGATAGATAGATAGATAGAGAGGAAGAGAGAGAGAGAGAGAAAGAGGAACAGCAGCACATCCCGTTTCGTACAGAACGTATATAAGTTACACCGGCTACCCGGTATATTTTATATTCCGGGGCGAAACGTTGATCGGCTCATGGCCCTCGCGAGGCATCGCCGAACGACCGCCGCGGGAACCGTCGTCTATTTATGCCTCCGCACCGTATATATATCGGGGTACAACTATACCCGAGATAAGCTCGACCTGCCCCCATCCCCTTACCACCCCCTCGTGTCGAGACGCGCGGCCTAACGATAATCATTTCGATATGTTCGTTCGGAACTTTAAGGATTCTGTGTCTTCGCCGCAGTCATCTTGATTATTGAGCTCAGAAGCGGGAAAAAGTATGCTCAAAATTCTTGCGGAATACACTTTTGCGTCAATGTATCGCGTCAATGTATGCAAGAATTTTGAACGCGTGTCTTCTCGTTCCTGATGTCATCAAGAGTTCCACGACGGGGCATCAGAAACCTTAGTTGAGAACGCGCGGAACTCGGGGGGTTCTAAAGAGGCGAAATAAGATCAAAGTACGGACGCGGCTATCCCGTTTTCGAGATTTTCCAAGTGCAAATTTTCCCGTGTACTTTCTTGGCCTGAGATCTCGTTACAGCCTTCTCTGGGTTTTTAATATCACCGGCGCGGCGTAAAATTTATATAACGATCCGTGTTCTCTGTAAGACTCTCTTGATGAAATCTCTCTCCTGGTGGTAATTAATAAGCGAAACTCGCGCTAAAACTCTTTTTACAACTTTCGTTAATGTTAATCTGTGAGCCACGCGGGAGATTCCCCGGCCGAAAACCTCATGTAACATCCCGACCTGATGCTCACGCGGCACCCTATGCATAAAACACCAACTTCTGCCCGAAAATGATGGGCATCTATCCGTCCGCACGTCCTTCCCCTCATTCCCATTCCCATATAACGAGAACGTCGGATATCGTGCACCTTGTTTCTGTTTGGATACCCGACGGCGTGCACGACTGTTATTCCTGCCCGCCGCTTCCTATATTTTCCTTCCTACCTCTTCTTTTTTTTACCCGCGCGCGTCATCATCGCCCGCTCTTTTCCTCGTTCCTTCTTCTTCACTCACGCCTGCATTCACCACCAAGCCCCCTCCCTCTGTTCCTCCTCGATTTCCTTCGGGAAACCTGGGCTTTATGGGCACGAAACTCGCCCGGGTAAGCGTCACGTGAGCGAATCCGGTAATGAAAACGTCGCTGACGCGACGAGATTCCGACGGTGGTTCATGCCCGCCGACCGATGTATATTGTTATTACTCACGATACCCACGGAGCGAATCACCCTGGCAGGGAGTGCCGACCGCGATCAACTAGCTTCCAATAACCTCTCGCGAGTGTGTTTCACGGGGCGTCATCTCGGCGCGGAAAGAGAGGAACGGCACTTTCACGTGCGCCCCGAAAAATTCATGCTGTTACCAGAGTAAAGTAGAAGTACCAAGCCTGGGGAAACTTTTATTGTATCATCTTCTCAAATGCAAATATGTAGGCTTTCAACGTACAATATATATACTTAACATGTGCGTATATTATATAATCAACATACTCTATGCTGAAGGTTTAATCAAGTATTCGTCTAAAGATTAAAACGATAAGAACATCCAAGTTTGAGTACGTGTACAAACATTGTTACTTTTACTTTAAAGTCGCTCTCGTATGCAAAAGTTTACAAAAATCACACAATTGTTTCATGTCCAATTCGTGTAAGAAAATCATGTGTATCCTTACATAAAGAATATTTAATGCGATCCATTATTACGATTTGATTTAAATGATCGTCATGTTATTCTCCATTTTAAACCTGCTCACTATTTAGTGTTATCTAAACGGCAAGAGGTCGGCAGATTTTCATTCGTGAGTACATTCACCCTTACAATAATGATCGCGACCCTTCGATCCGCGCCGATGCCCGCTTAATGGATCTCGCGCGGGATGCCCTCGTTACCGAATTAACTAAGCATCCATTTACTTTTGGTGACAACACACTTTGCACACTCGATAAAGCATGCCTCTCGGACGTCAGTCGACTCGATGCGCGCCGTTATTACTCACGTCGCCGATGGAGCGAGCAGCCCCTTCACGAGCGCGATCGTGCTTCCTACAAAGTCGAGCGACATCCGATTCAATTACGTCGAAGTGACGAACCGTCGTCGCCCTGCGTCATCCCCGACTTCTTATTCCCGGTATTTTGGCGAATGTTACTTCAGCATTCACTCAAATATCATTATTAATGCAATATGAATAATGTATGCATCGCGAGAGAGGCATTGCTGGCAATTGATTTCACTCTCGAGGGGAGGCCGAAGAGGTTTTCGCAAAGTTTTTCCGAAGTAAAAAAAAATAAAGGGTTAAACAAATAAAAATAAAGAGTTTTAACTATTTTTTACTATTGTTTTCAGTAAAAAAAAAGTTATTCTTTTATTTAAGGAGAAATAGAAATTTCATCGTCAGGTTTCGAGTATCCAGCCGAAAACACTTGCAAATTTCGCTATTCCCCGGGATTTCTACGTTCACCAGCGGCAAAACAAGAACGCCGAAATCGCACGATAAATAATGAAAAATCTCGTATCGAACTCTCCTCCTCTTCCCGTCTCTCGCTCTCCCGTCCGCCCTTTCTCTCTCCCTCCCCGTGCGTGTTCCAATCGCGACGCATCTTTACCGCGAATGATTTGTTTCGCCCCGAACTCACGGATGGATAAAACGGCCCGTGACACCGCGGGTCGCTCACCCCGTATAAATCGAGCAATCGCGCGCGTCGAGCCTCGCACCCGAACTTCCGTTCGCCGATAACGAATATTACGAATGGCCGCGGTGTCTCGTTTTTGATCGTTCCTCTTTTTTGAAACGCCGCGCCGATACGGTCACCTGCCGCTGATTTACATCGACACGGTGCGGCGGACGCATCAATTTGCCCGTGCCGATACTTCGTCTAATCGGACATCGGGGCCGTTATCCGCGGCGGTATCCGCGCGGTGTGGAGGAAGGGGGCGTGTGTGTGGAGGCGGGTATCGATATATACGCATTATCCGGAGCGATTTCGCTCGCATACACTGCTTGACACGCGTGTCACTTGTTCACTCTAAATCGGCTGATTAAATTATGGTCCCGTCGTTCTACACTCTCTGCCCACCGCGTCCCTTCCCCCCCGGCCTCGTGCCGCCGTCACGCCGCGGACACGCTACAAAGATTAATCCGGAATCGCTGGCGTAGCGGAGGATGATACCACGACAAATATGGCCACGTGTCGAAAAACAAATAGTTCTTTGATCGACGTAATGCGTAAACGAGTAGACGAATGGACGTCACCTTTCTCTCTCTCTCTCTCTCTCTCTCTCTCTCTCTCTCT